CCAGGCCTAAAGAAATCCAGATATATTTTTTTACAGATATTGTACGAGTAAATACTTCAGTAGCTCAAAAAAATAATGACATTAGAAATTTTGATAAAAGTGTAGGTGCTATTAATAATTACAGAACAAAAAGTCATTTCTTTAGTAATTTGACAGAGAATCCATATCCGTCGTTGGTTTTTCGAAAAATTAAATTTTGCTTAATTTGTTTAAATAATAATTGTTGAAACAAATAAATCAAGTTATAATTTTAGCATATTCTAACATAATTAGGGCTGATGTTCTAATCGGCATTGGTTTCAAAGTGCTCTGGTGCATGTGATGTCCATGGGCATTAATGGGTTAATAGTTCTTATAAATAGCTTTGAAAATAAGCCTAGCATTATAATTTGCATTGAAACTTAAAATCTAGATTATTATCAGTATTTCAACATAAAAAGAAACAATATGTACCACAACAATAGTAGAATAAATAAAGCTGACGGAGTGGGAACTTATATTCAGGATGACATAGAGTAAACGACAGAAATAATACCAATAGATAGATTGAAAATAATATTCACTAAAATTATACTAGATAGACACGGCAAAACCAAGTGATTAAATTCACACACTAACGCGCATAAATTTAAACATGTAAGTGTTTAAAACTAAATAATACGTGTAAGGTGTTTAAATTCAAACGGGTTAGATTTTTATTCGCATAGAGCGTTTAATTTTACACAGATAAAGCGTTTATTAGTTTTATACAGATAAAAAGCTTAATTATCAATATTTAGAGTGTGCAATTATAAGCTTCATAATTCCAATCATTGATAATGTCTTAGTTAATAAAATTCAATGTGTTCATGGTTTATCAATGGAATATAAGTTCTATTCAACGCTCTGAATGAAGACAATGGGTGTAAAAAAATTAAATCTCTTGTATTTAAGATGATTGTGTTTTGGTCACCTATGATTTTTTTACGTAGTATGCATTCAGTATTTCATTGAATTTTACAGTTTTTAATCGTGAAATCAAAAGAATTTTTTCGTTATTCAAAATATAAAGGTTTTCGACTTCTCCACAAGCAGGTAAGTGCTCTTCCGTAAGTTCAAGTAGTACAATGCTTTTTTGTATAAAATCAGTTTCATGAGTAATAATTTTGGAGGTACACATAATTTTTTGGATTTCTCATAGATCTTGATTGACAAGTTCATGAAATAAATAACCATAGGATAAATTTTGTAGAAGTATAGTTGGACCAGGGGAAATACAATCACCGTTATACAAAAATTTTGGAGACGGCATGCCAGAATTCGCTATTAACCTGGAGCATATCCGTGCTTGATATCGATAGCAAAAAGTTGATGCAATATTTAAAAAATTCTTGACTATTGGAATAAGACTTTTAAAGTAAGCATGTGTAGCTTCAAATTGAAAACACCATTTCTCTCTAGGTGGACCAAATAACCGGACATATTTTGGAACGTATACCATAAAATGATCTTTCGGTATGGCATAATTAGGATATAAACGTGTAAATGTCTCAAAATACCTCGCTATCATCACTTCTAAAAGATTGATACTATCTTCATCATTTTCGAATGCCAAACTTACATTCATAATTTGCAATAAAACAACAAAGTTTTGTATTCGTTCATTTAATCTTCTATGACCAAAAACACTCGTCCATTCGGCAATTAAGAATAAAAGAGTATGAGCTAATGTAATCATCTGCCCTGCACTTTGTCTCAAAATGTTATTGCCATCCAAATATTCGACTAGTACAGGAGCATGTTTATCTTTGTCAAAATGACCAAAATTGAAGTGCTTTCTTCTATTATTCAATTCATCTAATGTAAATAATTCAATTTCTTCAATGTAGTATTTTAAAAATAATTTATATGTTAATTTCAAAGGCCCTTCAATTAATATGTGCTGAAATAAGTTGAAGTAACATCTCATGTCTTAGGTGACGTGAGAGGCAAAATTAGAAGCGGAACTTAAGGGCCCCTATTGGAATTTCCCACATGGGATACCACATAGGATCCCACATGGGATCCCTCATGGGATCCCACATGGGATTCCGCATGCGGTACCAAAAAAAATTATTGATATAAGCGTATTTTCATTGATAATACCTCGAATAAATATTTTCAACATGCAATAATACTAATAATCACAATTTTAACTCATTACATTTTATTTTCTTAATGAAAAATCGAATTACAAATTTATTATTCAATAGTATTAAGTTGGAACTTATATCACTTTTAATATTCATAAGCTTTAATGCAGAAACCAAATAAATTGTTTTTCTTTTCATCTTCGTGCGTCTTGTATGGCGTAGCCGATATGTCGCTTGTATAATCCTTTCCAAGTCGCTGCCATAGCTCTAGTAGGATCGATGACGTTGCAGCGTTTCATTAAGAGAACGGTAAGAAGAATAATATTAATTGGAAGCAATGATTAACATAGTTAACTTTAGTAGAATAACAATATTTTTATAACCTTTATAATTTTTTTTAACGTTATCAATCTAATATCTATGCCGACAGTTTTTAGTTGCTGGATGCTGTCTATAAATGGTTTTAATACAAGTACTTTTGCTAGAACTCCAGGCTTTTTTATGAACTTGGTTTTTACAATAGTGTACAGTGAACAGTGTACAATATAATTGCACACTGTTAGGAGATGACCGATGTTCAGGATAAATATTAGCTATCATCCAATAAAACATTGATACTTTATAGTCTTTGGAAACGCTAGAAAAAAAAAAATGGATCATGCCAACATCATCTTGATAAAAGATTATCGCTATTGCATTCTGGTTATTTTTAAAAAATTCATCTGTATTATAATAATTATCATCCAGCACAGTTTGATAAACAGTATTGTGATGAGGTCGAGGATTGTCTATGTTTGAGCGAACATCTTCATTTTTTAGAAAATTTTCTAAATTTTGTTAGAAAAGGTATGATATAAGCATTTTCTTCTAGTGTACATAACCGGGGTTGAATTTTACCATGAAATTTTTTCTTTTTCCATTTATACTCAATATCTATAACTAAACTCTCTGCTTAGACCATATTTAAATCTTCAGTTAAAAATTTATCCATTGATTTTTTTGTCTGTACAAAATTGAATATTGAAGTAGGAGAATTTGTTTCTAGTAACATAGCTTCGACTTCTTCTATATTAATCAAATTCGTTTCTTGATCTTTTTTGTTTTGTAATTCCTTCTAAGAATTCTATAGGTTAGGAAATATATTGCTTTTGAATAAATTATGAATAGTATCTAATGATGACGAAACTGTACTTACAATAATGTTATTCATGTAAATTGTAAATATATTTTAACTACCACTGATAACATAATCAAGAGTATTTTGTGATACTCTACAGTTTTCTTTGATATTAATAATAAATTTTGCGGCACTGAATTGTACGTTTTCGGTAACTCTCTCTTGATTTACTTCTGCGATTTCATTATGATTAACCATACCGTCATCTGCTATGTTAGGTATAATTTGCTCTTGAAAATTATCGTTTTCGATAAAAATATTTTCTGCATAATCTTGCTGTTTTCGAATGACGTGTTTAAAAAACGAATATAATTTTTTGAAAGAAGCTCCACAACCATTAAATTTGCATGCTATATTATAAAATTTGGGTCGAGTCTATGGCTTTTGAGATAGTGACGTACTAAAATACTATACAAATTGCTTCTAAAAAAGCAGACCACACGTAAAACTGTCATTAATTATATCCTCCATGATAAACTTGTATAGTTTTCAAAATTTATGAACTTCTGTCGATTATCTGCAGTGTGGACACAAACATCGAATTGGCGTAAATTATTTCATTATCCGCAATTGGTAATTTGATCAGAGCTACACATTCGGAATCACGCATGCGCATTAATCGTGGTATATCGGCTTTTGTATCGGCACCTCGGTTGGAAGACATCCACCCCTATACGCTTAGTAAGCACCTCCGACAGCGCCTCCTCGCGGCCGTGTCTGTCAAAAGTTGGGTATAGGAAGATTGCACAGCTGACTCAGCGTGTTGTAAATACAGAAAGCCAAAATGGAGTTACAAAGTAAAAATAGTTTTGTTGATAATAATCGGTCAATGAGAATATGTTATGTAGTTGGATGTAGCAATTCGGAAAAAAAAAATCCATAATTGAGTTTCTATTCTTTTCCTGGACGTAATTATGAAGTTGAGAGGAAACAAAAATGGATAGCTGCCGTAAGGCGTTTAAGGTAAGTAATGTTTGATAAATCCATTTGCTATTTGTGTTTCTAATATTAAAATTGAAAAGTTATGTTAATGACGGCTTGCTGATACATAATGTTGGATTAAATCAAATGTTCAATTTGTAACTTAATGCTTACAGCGAAGGAAATAAACTGTGGCAACCGACAGCCAATTCTCGAATATGCAGTGCGCATTTTGACGGAGGCTGTAAGTCAGATGATCCTAGAAAAGTCAGTTACATTCCTACAATTTTTCCTGAAAAATATCGTTCAAAAAATAAGTATGATCATGCGAGAGCTGAAAGATTGCAGAAACGAAACGAAAAAAATCAAGAGAAGAATGTGAAATCATTACATTTCAAAATTCCAATTATGGTAATTAAATTCATTTTACGGTTCATGTACATATTCCATTATATTATAATTCATGTACATACAAACAAGATAAAAAATTATTTTTTATAATTGCAGATGATTCAACATTCAATCTAACCCAAAATGATTCATCGACCTTGGTAGAAACTTCTGACATTTGTATACAAACTGACATAACTTTGGATATTCCACAAAATATTAATATCATTCACTTATTTTGTTCCTTTGATGGTAACGATAAAAGTACACAAACAGATATACAGTTGACTAGCTACCGTACAATCAAAGAGAAGGTAGTTGTAGAAGATCAGGAAATACAAGAAGAGATAAGTAAATTGAATAAAAACTACAAAAGTGTAGCTTGTGGATCAGATTTAGAGATGAGGGATTATTTCACAGGATTTGCTGGTATCACAAGTGAGCAAGATTTAAAAATTTTGACTGGAATAAAATTCGACGTCTTTAATCATCTGTTAAAGTTTATAATACCTGGAAAGGATGGGCAACCACAGTTCTTTAGAACACTATCTACAGAAGATCGTTTGTTATTATTTCTGATGAAATTAAAACTAGGAATAAGCTTTTCTGCAATCGGATTACTTTTTGGAGTGAGCAGACAAACAGTTTCAAATATATTTTTTAGCGTACTGGAGACTGTCTATAAAAATGTAAAAAAATGGATATTTTGGCCATCTAAGGAAGCTGTAAAACAGACTATGCCAGATACCTTTGTCAACTATCCCGATTGCAGAGTGATAATTGATTGCACTGAAGTTTATACTGATACACCTTCAAGGGTCGACGAAAGAATACACATGTTTTCTCAATATAAAGATGGTTATACAGCAAAATTTTTGTTGGGCATAAGTCCATCTGGGATGATAACCTTCTTATCACGATCGTACGCTGGACGTTCCACTGACTCATTCATAGTTAACGATTCTGGTTTTCTAAATTACATTGAGCCAGGTGATCAAATTTTAGCAGATAAAGGTTTTCCGCAGATAAAAGCAGAGGCTCTACAACGTAATTGCATAGTAGTAATTCCACTCTTTGCATTTAATCCTCAATTCACTAAAGAAGAAGTGTTAGAACAATATTCAATCGCCTCAGTAAGAATACACATTGAGAGGGCGATACAGCGAGTAAAAATTTTCAAGATACTGCAACATCTCAACACTGAATTGTTTGAAACAATAGATGAGATCATGTACGTTATTTGTGCACTGGCTAATCATAAAGAGCCATTAATTAAAAAAAATGAATAACTATAATATGCGTGATGAATATGTATTGTTTTTAATCATTTCAATTGATATTTTGTTTTTTATGAATGCCTACAATAAAATATTTATAAAAAAATTTTTCTATTTTTGGAATGACATCTGCTAAAAAAATTTCATCACGTTTAATTAACAAATGAACATAGTCTTTCGGTGAGTAGACAAAAAGATGACATAAGTTCATCTTTAATATATATAGCGATACTTGAATTTGAGTATAATAACAATGCACAGGATTCAGTGTCAGTTCGCCTCCTTCATCAAATCTTAGATATGGTACGAAACTAATTTTCTTGTCTAGATCAACAATCAAAGAATCCTTACAAGTACTTGGGCATTTTATCTCTATAAGTTCTAGAGTACCATCCACTTTATTGGTGATTATACCATCTGGGCTACAAGCCAAATATGGCTGTGCTATTGAAATAACTAAGCCAATTTCAATAACTTTCACACTTGTCAAATTTTCAAAGCATAATCTGGCAGAATGCTCCATCTTGAGACCATACAACATATCTGGCGTGACTCTTCCTTTGTATTTTTCTTTGAGAAATCTCTCAACCAAAGTTTCAAAGTTATCCTGCCTAGTTTTTATACTATGAGCTTTGCTGCTACACGTTATTCGAAAATATCTTTCTCTGTACCAAGTTGCTGATTCTGATTGCCCTGCTGATTGTAAACAAATTTCTGTCCATTTATTCTTGTCAATTTTTATTAAGTCAAATTCAGCATTGTATATAGGCAAACAACTCATCTTTGCAAACGTCAAATTTAAAGAGTCTTGATTAGATTGCTTAACAGTATATGCATAATAATTTTCTTTTTCGTTTTCTACTTGCAAGCAATAAAGTTTTTCAAGAAGATTCAGTAATTTCGCTTGTGTTTCTTTCGTTTTTTTTTCACGTTCAAGCCTTTCTGACTCATGTTTTTTTTTCAGCTAAAATCATCTCTGTAAATGGACATTCTATTTTTAAATGCTCATTCGCAATATCTGGCATTTCTCTAGAAAACTCAAACTTTGGATATACAGCGCCCGGTTCGCCAAATAATGATTTCAAAGTGCATCCTTTGCTATACTTCTCTAATTGACTTTCAGGTACTACTGGCATATTCCATAACATAGGAGCGCTCGTTTTTGAAAGAGCTTTTTCTTTATTTACAACTGCACAAACGGCAGCAGCATGTTTGCATAAAAGCAAACCTCCCTTGCAATTGCATGCTGCACTAATAATTGTTCTATTTTCTTTAAGCTGCAAATTTAAATAATTTACGTGTTAACCAAATTGATATAAATCAACCGTACTTTACTGTAAAGAAAATGCATCACGTGTTTTTTATAACCTATAAAAATGATACTTGTTATTACCGAAATTGAAACTTTATAAAAATTTGTATCAGTTTTGGTGCTTTTTACACCTGGTGTTTCTCGCAACACCGTTCCTTTTAGAGTACGAGACCCGTCATCTCTCAGTTCTTCAAATACATCGGATACATGATTACTTTCTGCAAGTTTATTTCCCTTAGAAATACTTTTTTTCCTAAAAACACTAGTTTCTACTTTTTGGAAACCCGTTTTCAATATGACTACCATTATCTCTTCCTTTTTATTTGACAAAATATAAAAAAAAATAGTTTAAAATACGTTAGTTCTATACAGTCTGGCATATGGGAAGCGTGTGCTGTATACCCAACTATTGAAATATTTTTCCATCAGGGGGCGCTTGCGTTTCGCGCCGGAGATGCTTACTAAGCGTATTCTAAGAATACATATTCGAATTTGATCGTTGGCTTTACCTAAAAGTAGGCTAGAGCTGAGAATTTTTGGGCGGCCTGAAACGCACAATATTAAAACGATTTAGTCAATGAGACTCAATTTTACTATATATTCTGCGAGATTTTCATCAGTGCTCATAATGGAGAAAAAAGTTTTCTGTATAATACCGCCTCGCCAAAAAGCTATCAAGTTTACTTCACAGATAGGCGTGGCAGACGCCGATGTATTACGCCAAAGTTTTTCAAAGACTTGCACAGTAGATAAAGCTTATGACAGCAAACAAACTAATAGTATTTCAACTACGCGATGAAACTAGGGGATGGTGTGATATCGAGTTGGATGACGAGATTCAACATTTAAGTGAGGTTAATGTTCTTTTGATTCCCTTCACGGATTCTACTACTAAAATCTCTGCTATTACTACTAAAAATCTCAATGACTTGGAACCTGGTTCAGGTCTACCCCTTGACATTAATGTACTATATCAGGAACCACAAAAACAGCCTGATAGTAATGAGTTTAACTCTGAGATTAATTTTGCTGGACAAGAGAAAAATATTAAGGATGTTTCAAACCAAGTAGAAGAAAATTTTGAAGTAAGCGTGATAAATTGTTATACGTATTTATAAAATTATTAATAACTATAAGTAAAAGTATTTGTGTATTTATGAAACTAATATTTGTTTATTACATTCGATATTTTCGATTAAAATTAATTTGTATTGTTTCGATCAAAAAAATAAAAGTGGAAAAGATATTTGCAAATAAAATTGCAAAACAACCCTTCCCTATTGGAATTTCCCACATGGGATACCACATGGGATCCCACATGGGAACCTACATGGGATCTTATGCGGGATTCCGCATGGGATTCCATGTGGGATCCTTTCCGGGAATTTGATAGGATTTCCCACATTGGATCCCACATGGAATCCCAAAAAATTCAGAAAATCTTCACAATCCCACATAAGATCCCTCATGGGATCCCACATGGGATTCCGCATGCGGTACCAAAAAAAAATTATTGATATAATCGTATTTTCATTGATAATACCTCGAATAAATATTTTCAACATGCAATAATACTAATAATCACAATTTTAACTCATTACATTTTATTTTCTTAATGAAAAATCGAATTACAAATTTATTATTCAATAGTATTAAGTTGGAATTTATATCACTTTTAATATTTATAAGCTTTAATGCAGAAACCAAATAAATTATTTTTCTTTTCATCTTCGTGCGTCTTGTATGGCGTAGCCGATATGTCGCTTGTATAATCCTTTCCAAGTCGCTGCCATAGCTCCAGTAGGATCGATGGCGTTGCAGCGTTTCATTAAGAGAACTGTAAGAAGAATAATATCAATTGGAAGCAACGATTAACATAGTTAACTTTAGTAGAGTAACAATATTTTTATAACCTTTGATAATGCGTAATTCTCGACGGGACATTTCTTGTCTTTCTTTGTCATTAACTACTACCGTTGTTTTTATCTCGAAAATACATTTATTTGCCAATTCATGTGGTTGAAATAAACGCTTCAACAAGAACCTCAAATATTTCGACGCAGATTTTCGTTGTGTCAAGTCCCACAACGGCTGGCTGTATGTTTTATCAAGCCCAACGTAAATCTGAAATACATACAAATGTACACAAGAACATGAAAATAAAATAGACTTGCGTCTTACCATTTTAGCTCCAGCGTCGCCTGTAGGTTCTCCTACCCGCTTGAGTTCCTCGGCTAACTCTACGTCGTCAGGACCGTCTGAATCTACAGTTCCGTCTTCATCAGCAACTACTGGATCAACAGTTTCTAAAAAGTCAAAAATATTATTATTTAAATATTTTATTGAATATAATAATTTCATCTGTAATATATAAAATATTTTTTATCTGTGAAATATTTTCAGCCACTATCGTACCCTCAACGTAGACGTTTCTTTTCCTTTTTTTTGTCAGTTTATTCTTCAAGGATTGTATTTTGCCCTGGAGCCCTTCAAACGCCTCATTCAATCTGCCTCTTACATTTTCAGGCACCTGATCTAATAAGTCGCTAATATCAGCTTCTACTTTCACTGAACTGGATCTTGATCCACGTGGTGTCGGTAATCTTGATCGACGTGGTGTCGGTGATCTTGTTCGGCGTGGTGTCGATGATCTTGATCGACGTGGTGGTGGCGATGATAATTGATCCACGTCTGATCCACGTCTTGACCTTGAGTTTCTAGTGCTTTCAAAATCATCATCGTCATCGGATTGTCTAGCTTCAGAACGAGATGGTATTTGCTGAAATCTAGGATCTACAGTAGATGTGTTGATGCAGGTATTACGTACTTGAGAACATTCGTTCTCTGGCACCAAAGCACTTTTTGAAAAAATTACTCTTGCGAGAGAAAAACCACTTGAAAGTGTAGCCGGAAAATCGTTTGAATTAGGGAGGATTGATTTTTTGGACGCAGGCTCTACATATGACTTTCTCGCTTCCTCCAAAGTCTTGATAGTACTCAGCTTTCTGGTGTTCTTTAGCAATTTTTTTGTGTAGGCCTGAAATGAGTTAATCGAATAACAGATTGCATGTTAATGAATACATAATTTTGTAGATAGATTTGATACCTTCTTTCTCTTCTCAACTTCTTTGGCATCTGCGTCGGATTGTGCATCCGCATCTACGTTTTCTTCATCATCAGTAGTCGGGCTAGTTGATGTTGTCTCGACCCGAGTCGGAATTCTGATTCGACTACTTCTTGATTCGTGACTTTGCTTTACTTTTTTTTCAATGTCATCTTTGCTATCTAAAAGAAATAACAACTTCTTATCAAAAAAATCTCGCATGATTCAACTGATGGATTTTCCTTTTCAAACTAGATTTCAACATTTGAATTTCTGAAAGCTTGTGCGCATCATTATACTGTTACTGTCTGACCGTCCACGAGGACTGAGAAGTTAGAAACTCGGGTACACAAGGGAAATTGTTAGAGTTTTGAAAATAACGCCATTAATTGCTCTAATTCTCTCATTATTGACTGATACTTTTCCTTTTTCTAAAAATAAAGTAAAAAAAAAATCGATAAAGATTATTATAGATATAACTACGGGGAATGGCAAGAGAAATTACAATCTTTATTTTAAGACCTTGATTGCAAAAATCGAACAATAATTTAATGAGGAAATCGACTTTTACTATATCAATGGAAAATGTCGATTTTCACACATTCCCATGAATGTATCGAAAAAGGGAAATTATCAGTCAATAATGAGACAATTAGAGCAATTAATGGCGTTATTTGCAAAACTCTAACAATTTCCCTTGTGTACCCGGGTTTCTAAGGCCCCGGTCCCATAGCTACGTATGAATGTGGACGAATTTGGACGCGAATCGCAACTCTAGTAACATCACTAAAAATATCTAGTTCGATTATTTAGTACCAACACTACCGGTAGTGAGCAAAAGTAACTGTTGTTTAAAACTGTAGCGCCGAACGTACCACATTTAATGAACGCTTATCGAACCTTTACATTATTGCAGTCTATAAGATGGCAAATGATAGAGAATTGATAGACTTTCAACTATAATTAGTGGAATTAGGCTTTAATTTTATGGAAGTACTTGAATATATGAGAAGAAGAAGAAAAAATATATAAATGATATGTATTAATCATCCCAAAAGCTTTTTTTACATTAGCATACTCATCAATAAGCAATATTCATGAGAATTTGAAAAGTAAATTGTAGACCTGACATTTGAACATTAAATGTGGTACGTTCGGCGCTACAGTTTTAAACAACAGTTACTTTTGCTCCCTACCGGTAGTGTTGGTACTAAATAATCGAACTAGATATTTTTAGTGATGTTACCAGAGTTGCGATTCGCGTCCGTATCCGTCCGCATTCATACGTAGCTATGGGACCGGGATCTAACTTCTCAGTCCTCCGCCCACGAGGCACGGACGCCATGCGTGCGCCCGGCGCGAAATGATACGAGTTTGGTTAGATATTCACATGCTGCATGCTATATAGTCTACTTTGGAGTGCAAAGAAATAACCCATTGCTCATAATTGCAATAAAAATTTGAAAACAAATTAAATTAACGGCAGTGTACACTTAGTCACAAGCAATCAACAGCCACTTAATTATAATTACGATTTTGGGTTATGTTAACGTTATAACGCTGTACAAATTAACCTATTTTAATTTTTGTAACAATAAGTGAATGGAAAATAGGAACGTTGTTATTCAAATTAAAATTTAAAAAAACATACAATGAAAAAGAGTTATCGAGTCAACTGCTCATCTCTAAATGAATAAGTTTAGTTAATAGTTCAAAATCTAGAGGTATCTATGCTTGATCAAAATATTGTAAGCTTTATAGTTAGTAATAGAAATTTCATTTCTAGTAGAGATTCATTCTGAAAAATGTTTATATTTTTTAGGTATATTGCACACATAAAAATTTCATTTTCTTGTCTGGACTTATAATGTGAATAGCTTACTTCCAAGTAATATTATTCGTGCAGAATAGTATGAATGGTGTTTTCCATTGTAATGTACTTCTGTACAGTTTTCATCACAATTCCATCGAGCATAATAGTAGTGAGTTTTAGAAAAATCTTGGTCATGCTTTGGTTGAATATGAAAGCTATCATTTTTTCTATATTTAATGTGCTTTACTTCTATGTTGTCAGTTATCCTATCAGATTCAAAACGAACAAGAGCCCACTGAATATCAGTATCCATTCTTATAAACAATCAAGATTAGTGGTAATACATTATAATTTTAATCTCAAATTGTATTTTCTCACTATTTTCATTTAGCCTCTCTTAACATTTCAATTTGCTTTGAGGTTTTTTGATGTTGTCATAGAAACTGACTATTATTTGTTCATTTGTTATCAAGAGCTGTTTTCATTAAACCAGCCTAAAAAACTTACCGTTCATATTAAGCACTATTCCACAATAAGGTATATTCAGTTTATAAAATTGTTAGTAAATAGTCTCATGATAGAAATATCTGATTTATAGAATACTGAATTTTTTATTTTTACAGTAGTGCAATAGTAACATGTGTGACAATCTATAATTCTTTTACAATGGATCCTTCCAAGAAACCAAAAATCGAATACAACAAGTATTTTCGAACTGAAAATTTGCAAGACATGAATTATCAAGCTGCGAGACGCTACATGCTTTTGCTAAAACATGAAAGGCCACAGGTAAAATGTTACAAAACTGAATTTTCAGAAAAGGTGGTAGTTTTGTGCCACTGTTATTTTTATACAGTTTATACGTATCAAGTAGTATGAAGATTCTAGCAACACTCAAAATAAAAGACAAACCTCTTGTGCAATACCAAAAGAAAGTGCACTGCACGAGACATTAATTTCTGTCAACATAACTGAAGGACAACAGGAATTCGTTTCCCAAACAGAAGATGGAATACCAGCCCGTTTGAATGTGCAGCAAAAACATGATGTCCAGCTTGAACATGGAACATCGGTACTACTGAATAAAGAGCAGTATTGCGTTTCCCAACCAAATGATTCTGTAGCAGCACAATCACATAATATTGAAGATGATATTTGCAAAATAAAGGTTAGTGTTGTGTTAATCTTTTAATAAGAATAATAATGTGCTCATGTCAATCTTACTGATTTTCTTGGATTAAAAAATATATGAAGGAGGCCAGCCAATTTATGACTACAAAAATTAAAAATAATGATTTCAAATTGTGTGACGAGAGCAAGCAGTACGCTTGCTCTTCGTCTGCCCTTCTTCTCTCTCTCCCTCTTATCGCTCGGCATGGCGACGTGGTCAGCGTTCGGCGCATATATTTATTGCGCCTAACCACTGGCCTTTATGTTTTTCCAGCCGCCGAAGATTGCCGAGCAAGATTGAGAGCGCCCGAAGAAACAAGAGCGCAGCGACTATGAGGTAGAGAGAGACAGAGAGAGAGAGAGAGAAAGAGAGTATTAGGCCTATGCAGGGATTGGCAGGCGCGCAACGCGTGACCGATAAGCGACGCGTCGCGTGCCGCCTACCTAATAGGTCAAGGTAGGGAGAGGAGCGAGCGCCGCTGAGCGACTGCAAGATGCGCGCAAGAATTAGTGCGTGAGAGTCGCAGCCAAGCCTTACTAGAGTGAGGTAGTTCCCGAAAGAAAGTTGAGGAGAGAAGTTGGAAGTAGCAGCGCAATGAGAGAAGAAGTACACGAGCAGCAGTGACCAGACCAGGGCGAGCCGAGGCAACGTGTGGAGGCAACACCTGCAGCAGGGCATTCAGTGTCGCCCTCGCCGCCATGCACGGCATGACTTCCAGGGGATTCACCACGGGCTATGCCGAGGAAGACATCCAGCCAGCGGCCAGGTCAACTCCCCGTTGCCGGCTCATCGCCAAGGACAAAGGTCAGGTTATCTATCGCGCGGCCGCGTAGGAACGATAGGTAGCCAGGCGATCACTTGCCGGCTACGCTCATCGTAATGCGGTAGAGAGGTTTCAACGTATTCTTTCCTTTGTAAGGAGGTAAATGGCCAAGGCGATTTAGTCGCCGGGCCATTCGTCCTCCCGCGTTAGTTTAAGTTGTTCTGTATATGTGCGCGTGATGTAAACGTTATTGTAACTGATTTTGTATTTGTTTGTCTGAATAGATTTAAGTTGTACGTTCCAAGCAAAGAAAATTATTTATTCGTTCGACCTATCCTCTCGTTCCCCGATTGTTAAAGAGCGAAAGTGCCTCTCTTACTCTCCCCTTAATAAATTAGTGACGTCAGTGCCGAATAAGGCGCTGCCCCCGTTACAATTGAAATCTGTAAAATTATATCAAATTAATCTCTTAACTTTAAAGTAGATTGTATAAAGAAGCTTTTTTTACATTCACTTATGTTAAATTACTATGTAAACAGTGGAAATTCTTATGGGAGCCTTGAATGCTCAATAACCTTTCGCAACAGACTTTCAAAAATCTATTCGTATTATACTATTCTGAGCGAAGAGATTCTACTTCTTTATCATATTCAATCCACTTAATGTAATACTTTTCTGAAAAAGAGCTATTCACATTGATGAATTGAAAAAAAACACACTTATCATAATTATGTATTTTTTCTATAAATAAACCAATAATTCGGTTTTTCCAAATTGGGATTTAGTTTAGTGGATCCAAATATGTTGCAGTCTGTATAAAATTTCTCAAGTAGATATACGGCTGGGGTGTTATAAATGGTGAACATCATTGATGCTTGAAATGCTGTTTAAAGTTTGCAAATACTGAATTTGGATTTTGATCACTGAAACAGAATATCAGTAATAAAATATATCATTTTGACATTTACATTTTTTCAAAAACATGCAACTTTTAATAACTTGATGATATTGAGTACCTTGACTTTGATATTGATAAATACTTTGAGATTTTTTTTTTCATAAATCATAAAGATGATGCTTACACTGGTAAAATGTTTGCTCTGTCTTTTACATTGATTTTGTTTTTCATAAATATACACAAAGGAACACTAGATTTCAACAAAATGCAGTGTCAATTTATCTGATGACCACTGATGACTGATGTAACCTGTGGAATTCTCGTAGTTGTAACTGAATCACTCAACTTTTCAATTTATTGTGTTATCAAATTGAATTATATCTCTTGCATTTAATCACAACAGTTAACAGCCAAGCAGTAGACTAGTAACTCAAAACACACGTTGAAGTGAGACTGCAGATCTGAATTTTTTTTGGCTATGCTTGATTCAATTCTATGTAAAGTTTCGATACTAACAGTGTAATAATAAATTTATTTACTATGATTTCTATTAAATTAAATTTGAAGTATGAAAACCATCAAAAAATCATATAAAATTAAAATGTCTCTTATCTTTGCCGGAAAGAAAAAATCACATTCTTAATAAATAACGTGACTTTTTATAATTGTACATGCTCACCAAAAAAGAAATTACTAGTAAAAAAAACTGATTATCACGACCTTAAACATTGTCTGGCCTCTTAATTTGTGAATACGATGATAAACATTGAAACACTCTTTCCCGTATCACAGTTTTTCAAAAACTATATGTTTGTAAATGAGAAATTTCAAATCTAAAGAAATATAATTTACAATACATTGATTTCATGTCGAACAAAATGTAATCTAACCATTGAAAAACTTTCAACAAGAATTTTATCGACTTGTGAATGTAGCATCCAAAACATCGACGGCATAGTTATTCAATACACAAAAAAAAATATTTTTGTGTTGACTGTATAACCCCGTTCATTTATTATTTTTGTTAAATAAAGATATTAAAAATAATTTGAGTGCTAAGTTTAAAATTCTATCTATCTTGCATTCGTTATTGAGAGTAAAAAGTAGTATAGAAAAATGTACATATGTAAAAATGAACTGTAGCGTTTTGTTTAAACAATGCACTATTATAATATATTTGAATTTGATGAAAAACATTTTACATTTTAGATTTATTTGGTGAATGGGGGAAAATTCTATGAACCGTGCAATACGATGGCATCGATAATTGAAGAACTTATTCTTGGTATTGGTTCGAAAGATGCATCAACGAACGAGTCAACGAAAAGTCATGTTAGCTTAACCTATCCCAAAAGTTTTAATGACTTAATTTGTGATTCTAAATTTTTAGAAACAATTAGTATACCTGTAACAATATCCGCTGGTGAAATTTTGTTAATGATTCTCAGGTACGCAGTCCATAACAAGTTATGCGTTTCAGCCTTGATAAGTTTATTGCGCTTAGTTAATAATATTTTTCAAAATCCAATAATGTTTGATACAAAGTATATGTTGGATAAAATATTCAACCCTCATAATAATACACAATTTCATGCTATTTGTCCGCAATGTAAAATATACGTTGGCGAATTAACGAAATTAGAACTATTTGTAACATGCGAACATTGCGGAACGAAAATAGATCTGTCAACACCATCGTGCGAAAATTTTTTTATACTCATAAATCCATCGGACGCTATCGAAGACCTGCTGAATCAAAATATAGATTATTACCACTATGTGGTAAACGAAAGAGAACGCGGAAACAATCACTTGAAAGATATTTATGACGAAAAATGTTACAGAGAATTTGTGGAGAGCTTGCCAGAAAATGAAAGAGAAGCTGGGGGGAATATTTGTACAAAGTTACTGGAGGCGCACCTTTAAGGAACGATTATGCTACGTTTGCTGCTATCATTGTTGATACTTATCCTGAGCTAGCTGGCGGTACGTCAAACAATGTAATTATAATTATTTCAAGATATAACAAAATTGTACTTTTATTGAATTATATATTTTATAGAAGCTGTTGTATTTTTATAGGGAATTGTACGTACGCAATTAGTACATGGATAAGAAATCACAGATCCAGTTTGAAATTAAAAAGTGAGGATATAAATTCAACAAAACTTATGAAAATATGTGCCAATGGCCAACAAAAAACATCAACAGAGTGTATTTCAATAGAGATGAAAAGGGTCAATTATGAAACAAAATAAAAATAGTTTATAGGTTATTATTTATTTGTGTATCAACAGTGCTTTCACGACAAGTGATATTGAAAGTGCTCTTAGAGAGCTTGAAAAGCCTTTTAAGAGCATCGGAAAAAGCTCTTATAAGTTATGAAAAAGTTATTAATGAATTAGAGCGGATTATATGCTGATAGCCTTTAACTGAAGTGTATCAAATTATTCATTATATCTCCTAAAATGGTTTTGGTAA